CGCTCGAGCGCTATATTGGATGCTCGAGCGTAAATTTCGCCTATCCAGTACTTTTGCAGGCTTTAGAGTTCCGCTCGAGCGGGGAAGTTGACGCTCGAGCGGGGACCCTGTTTTCCGAAATTCTGGAAATGCATTCTGTGTTCTGTTTTCCGTTCTCTTTCACTTGTAAGCACTCTTAGGCATATGTTAAGCATTGTAAATGAGCTAATGAAATGTGAATTAAGCCTAAAGAGTTGTTTTCCGTTCTCTTTCACTTGTAAGCACTCTTAGGCATATGTTAAGCATTGTAAATGAGCTAATGAAATGTGAATTAAGCCTAAAGAGAGATATGTGAATTAAAGAACGGATTGAACTGTTAGTGACCCTTTTTATGTTCATGAAATGTGTAGGGTCAAGCTCCAAGGCAAATCCACAAGCCGATCACTGTGAGTAATATCAATATTTAAAAGCTTGTGAATGTCCAATTGTTATTCCCTTATAAGCCTTATGAATTTGCTAATTGGGATCGTGGACAAAAGTCTAATACAAATAAATGAATGGGCCGAAGGCCGTTTTGACACGAATGAATGGGCCAAAGGCTGTTTTGATCTAAATGAGTGGGCCGAAGGCCGTTTTGACACAAATGAATGGGCCAAAGGCCGTTTTGATATAAATGAATGGACCAAAGGTCATTTTGATATAAATGAATGGGTCGAAGGCCGTTTTGACATGGATGAGTGGGCCGAAGGCCGTTTTGACACAAATGAATGGGCCAAAGGCCGTTTTGATCTAAATGGATGGGCCGAAGGCCGTTTTGACAAGAATGAACGGGCCGAAGGCCGTTTTGACGTAGATGGAAATCAGAATGGGCCAAAGACCAATATGTTTAGAACTACAGTCACTTGATCTAAACTTTGTATAAATGTACATATGTTAAGTAGGAATATGAATTGGGCCCAAGGCCGTTTGGAGTATGTTGTTCTACATATTGTTTATATGAATTCTGTATTTGATATTATTCACTGGGCTATCGCTCACGCTCATTCATGTGTTTGTAGGTGAGCCAAGGGAAGTCCAAACCCAGCCCCAGTGAAGTCAACTAGGAAAAAATATGAGTTTTGAGGAAGTCAGCCTTGCGTCTCACTCTTGAAACCTATCCTTGCCTTTTTGTTATGTAATTATATTTTGTCTTGCCGGCAAGGACTTCATGTATATTTGTAAATAGTCTGTCATGGGTTGACTTAATTAGATGAGCCTGTCTGTAAGGAATTTTATGGTACTGTACTTTTGATGTGGGTTATTAACGTATATGAGTTTGGTTTGTTTTGATGTGCATATAAGCACAGCTCTATGGACAAAGTTTTAAATTTTTGCTTCTGATTGGCCCCTTTACTCTGATGAGTTATGTCTGTTTTGGGTTTGAGGCCATAGGTAATCTCAGGATTACTGGCCGGTTATGTCCTTAACCCATAGGGGCGGGTTCGGGCCATGACAGTTGTAGTGCAATAGCTTTGACTAGCCTAATGGTTCAAGGTCCTTAGGATGCTATGCTTGTGTTGTTTTGATGATTTGGCATCATTTCACACATGATTTCAGTGCATATAGTGTAGTTACACTCTCACATTTTTCACTTCTTCATTATGTTTGAGAGTTGTGCTTCTATGCTTTGTTGGTAAGCCAATGCATGAGCACCATTATCTTTCCTTTCATGCCATCATTTCAAAGCATTTTGGCCACTATTTTGGCATGCATGAGGTCAGTTTGGGGCTGGTTTGGCCCATTGAGTATTGCATTACATAGCCCTTGCGTTGTGTTCTTCACTAGTTTCAATGCTTAAGGACTCTAACTTGTCATGCTCATGTTGTTTGCATGTTGTTGCATTGCATTGTGTTTGCATGTTGTTGCATTGCATTGTGTTTGGATCGGATGTTGATCCAAACACGAGAAATAAGGGGCGTTTCATACTTAAAGTGATGAAACGCACCTCATTTCTCGGTCGCTGACCCTCTTGATCAAGCATGATAGAGTGGAGGCCCTTATGTGTTATTTGTGCATTCATTGACATTGAATTATGCAAACTTGGCTTCTCAGCCATCGTGCATTACGATGCTCGGTTGGTGGTCCGAGAGTCGAGTACCGCACTCCCTTAAGCTTGAGAAATGATAGGGATGGTGGTTGTGCACACATTCCCTTGCAAATACACTGCCATGCCCTTGTTGTTCTCTGTTGCAGCAAAACTGGAGTCTGGCAGAATTTTTGGTCAGCAGACCAGTAAAGGTGGTCAACCGATCACTTTTTCTGGTCTACAATAAGTTTTTCTGGTCTACAAGTGGTCTACACCACCCTTTTCTGGTCGGCAGCCCACCAGGAGGTCTCCATGTTGGAGAAGAAGCAACCTGGAAGTTTGTACAGTGTTCTGAGATCAAATCAAATGCAAACAGAGGCAATTCTGGGCATCGTAATGTATTTCCGAGCGAGGAAATCGAGAGCATGCATCCTTCATTGTTCAGGCAGAGCTGTGGCAGCCTAGTTCACATACCTCACATGCTTGGTTAGTTACCATGTTTAGTTAATTTGTTAATTAATTAAAGTATTGTAATAATTAGTTGTAGCTAGTCATTCAATTTGTGTTGTGTAATAATTAGTCTAATTAGATTATTAGTTTAGTTAAGTAGCTTAGCTTAGCATAGCTAGCTTGTATTATTTATTCAGACCCTCCGTCGAGAGGACAAATTTTGTAATAAGTATGCATATATGTGTGAATGTCTTCCAACCCCACGTCTTTCTCCTTTTTACTTATCAGCTTTCGATGGTTAGTTTTAGGGCATGTTTCAATTAGCATACTTATGTTTTGCATACGTGCATCATTCATTCGTATTGCATGCACCGGGCTCGGCGCATCATTCAAACTGTATTGTATTTCAATACCTATTTGAATACATGTATCAATTATTATAAATCATATGCCATCTTAGAATAGCTGAGCCTACTTAGTTGCATTTTGCATGTGTTGCATTAGGCATCTTAACATAGCTAGGATCATGCATGATTTCTAACTAGCTTCTGTTTTGGCTCGGAGTACACTGTGAGTGTTTATTCTTTAGCATCCTTGCATGTGTGTAAGTAACTGCCATGATAGCATGCTTGCCATGAGGCTAATTGCTTAAGTGTTTAACTGCATGAATGCCTGTAGATGAAGGCTTCATTGCTTGAATTGGAACAATTCATCGAAATGCGAGTTTTAAGCCCACTTGAAGTGGCAAATCATCACATTTTAAGCCTACTGGAGGGTGGCAAATCCGCGACTTAGCCTACTTGCGAGTAGCAACTCCAAACCATTTTCAAAAACAAACATGAGATGCTTTGTTCCAAATCGAGCGATTTAGTCTATACTTGTATGTTGTGCGCATCACATAGTAAGCTAGCTAATAAATCAGATTAAGAACACATGTGTTTTCAAAAACAACATATCATGTTAGTAGAGGCCGATCCTTTGATCGAGCAAGCGGGGGTACTCATTTCAGGACCTTCCCCTCTCGTACCCAAGTTCCCGAGCCGAGGCAACTTTGGTGATAACGGACACGTGGCCTTAGACACGAGTCAGGGTTTCCTAAATTTTTCAAAAATAAAATATTTAGATGGCGACTCTAAGATCTGGCAAAGTAGTCCATGTTTGGCACTTTTCAATTCAAAATTGATTTTTCAAAACCAATTGCCGAATTTGGACTCTTTGGTGATTTATCAATTTTACATTACACTTTGTGAGATTAGATTCAGAACCGTGACAGGATTCCGAACTGTAGTAGCTAAGAACTACAATTCGTGCCCTCGCGTGCGGAGCAGAGTTCGGGCGGTCTACACCAAGCTTCGCTTCGTTCCGACTAACCTGAGAACACAACAACGGTAAGCTACCCAGCGAATGTGATGCTGGAAAGCCCCTCTGACGATCAAGTTAGCACCCTGCGAGAGAGAAAAGAGAGAGAGAAGGTGGTAGGTGAGATGTGATCATAAAAAATGTCCAAACCTTAGTATGGAGGCACCGCCCCGTTTATATAGTTTCTGCACATGCTCTCATGCCCACTCATCTGAGGACGCGTGGACCTGCTCCCCTCTCACATTTCCCCACGTGTCAGTGCCAATACAACTAGACACCACCTAACCAAATCGTCAAGCAGTTGGCATCCACAGACAACAGGATCTCCTCCGTGCCAGCTCACGGCGCCGCACAATGCTCTCTACCAAGCTATACTTGGGCGGTGCTGCGTCATCACCTTACTGCCGTGATAATTCCTCGATCGCCTTGACGAATTCTGACCGCGGACTCAACTGAGCTTCTCCGTTATGACCGAGTTCATGCTCGGTCAGTCTGATCTTCAGACTAAATCTGTCCAACTCAGTGGTACACACATCTTCGCCGATCTGGAGGTCCAAAGTTATTCCAACTTGACCGGACCGATCACTTGGTTCAACATGCACCCAATGTTTGACCAGACAAAACCTAGCTCGGTTCTGTTTATGTCACCCTATGTTACAAATTCATAATTTTTCAAGTAAATTTTACTAACAATTAATAATTTAAATTTATTTTTATTTTATTTATAAATTTCACCATTTATCAATTCAGTAACGCAACATACACAGATATAAAAAATTTAAAATTATTTAAAATTTTAAATTAATAATTCAGATTTATTTTGTATATAAATCTCACACTTCATCAATTCAATCTTTATCATATATACTTATTTTTGGATAATTCTAAATCCTAAATTTCTGGACTCAGAGCATTTTGGTTATCAATTTAGGCCTTGTTTGTCATTTCTTAAAAAAGTTAAAAATCTATTTAAGTCACATCATTTTATTTAAGTCACATTATTTTTCTATCACATCACTTCAAATTCAACCAATATTCAACCCATAATTCATAAAAAAACAAAAAATATCCTTATTTCGAACCTTCTAAACAACCACGTAATTGTGATCACAGATATGTGAACACGGCTGTAAATAAAGTGTGAAGACACCCGAGTGAGAGAAAAAGTGAATTCTGTGTTGATTTGTTGACTCTCAACATACTCGTTTTGGTGCGAAAGTCGCTGGAAGTTTCCTGAGAGAAACAGAGAAAGCATTCATGTATGTAACATAGAGAGATGAGAGAGGGGACATCGACTTGAGATCTTCTTCATCCCTCAGATTCTATTCTACACACAGACAGACAGTGCATGCGCAGCTCAAAACAATAGGTTAGATCTTGTTCTTCTTCCAATCTAGTTGAAGAAAAAACAGTTATTAGAATTGTTAGTCTCTTTTTAACTTTTTTTTATTTGATTTGTGCTTTTTCTTTCTAGTTATTGCTATTCTCATTGATTCTGTGATTGATGATTAATGGTAGATCTGTTATGTAAGCTTCTAATATTTGTGATTTGCCAAAGCAAAATAGCTGTCCCCTTTCTGTGTGGGTAATTTTGTGAATCATTTTGTATGGCAACCGCAGGTGACTAACTACTGACAAACTACGCTCTCTCACTCACTCAATGGCGTTTGAAAGAAGAATATTATCATCCATCTTTAATAAGAATAAGAATAATAACATCAACGATGATGACGGTAACTACAAGTCCCGCTGTTCAGATCAAGAAAGGAATTTCTTGGAAAACGGAAGCATGTTTTTGGAGGATCTTATTGCTTTTTCAAATGGCAAATATAATACTTCTATTCCTAGATTCTCTATCCAAGAGCTCTCTCAGGCAACTGATGGATTTTGCTCCCATCAAATTGTGGCGGAGCATCAGTTTTTTAAAATTTTTAAGGGTTTTTTTTTGACAAACGCCTAATTTTAATCAAGAAGGGTAATGATGAAAATTCAAAGTCTCAGGCTATCCGCGATATGGTGATTAAGTCATTAATGAGTAGTCATAAGAATGTTTTAAAGCTCATAGGTTGTTGTCTAGACTTCGACATTCTTGTTTCAGTGTATGAACATGCAGTAGGCGTAAGTATGGAATTACTTTCCAAACGTTTGTACGAAAGTGAAGGTGGCATGGCAGAGAATGGAGAGTCATCATCATTGACGTGGAAAAGTAGGCTAAAGATTGCAAATGACATCGCGGATGTTGTTATTTACATGCACACTGTATTTTCAGCACCCGTCCTCTTTAGGGACCTAAAACTAAGTAATATTATCATAGATCAATCTCGTGTTGCTAAATTATTGGATTTCTTCTTATCTATATTAATTCCTCCGAGAGAAACACAGGTTGAAGACAAGGTATTTGGGACATGGAAATTTATAGATCTGAGTACATGTTACCGGGCTTTCTCACTGAGAAGTCCGATGTTTATAATTTTGGTGTGATTCTTCTTGAACTTCTGGAAGGAAAAAGATCCATCTCGTCCCGTGACATAAATCAGCAATCCTTACGAGTATGGGTGAAAGACTCTGTAGAAAAGGATCAGTTCAATGAATTTGTGGATTCAAGAATTCTGAAAGAAAGAGGAGGAATTGTGCAAGAACAACAATTACAAGCTCTACTAGCACGTGCCATGAGATGCATCCAAGAAAACAAAGAAGATAGACCAAAAATGCACGACATCACAAAAGAACTCAGACGAATGCTCAAGTCTGATTACCTCTCCTCCTCAACTCAACCATAATAATCCTCCATTTCTAAGAAGATGACGACTACAACGACTATATGCTTCATGCATAGTCACCAATGCATACAATTATGTATTACATATTATATATGCTACTACCCATCTCTCTGATTGTTATATATTGTTAAACCATTCTGTTTGGCTCTCCATTGTTTGTGAGGTAGAAAACTTTTGCTCTACAGATAATTATTCAGTGTATATATATATATATATAGCAACAATTTTAATGTTAGAAATCTTATGTGGTGTGTTCTGATTAAGGGTGGGCGCTGGTGGGCGCGGATCGGTTACGGCCACGGAACCTCCAATCGTCATCCGTCCGCTAGATTAACGGATTGGAGAAAATCAATCCGCATTCGTTCGCCAATCCGGTGGATGTGGATTGAACGGATTGGCAGTTGGATGCGAATCAGTTTAGCGGTTTAAAATTTTATAAATTTTCAATATAATTTAACTTGTGTACTTCTTAAAAAAAAAAAAAAAAAAAGAAAGTAATTTTATAAATTTTCGATATAATTCAACTTGTGTCTCATTACTACAATTGAATACCAATTGTGCAGTCTCTGTATTTTTTTCTCCTCCCATATGTTGCTATGTTATTCATACTATTTGGTTGGAAAGTATTAAAGCTCAATAGTTCTTGAGCTGTAATTGCTAGTACTAATTGATATTTTAGTTTGGATACAAATTGATGTTCAACATGTAATGCTCCAATATTACTCAATTCTTCACCTGTTTGCCCTCCAAATCAAAAACGAGCAAATAAAAATAATAATAAAATAAAAAATACCACACCCCAACTCTCCCAGAAATATGACAATTCATTCATCTCTGGTAGTTGATTAAAAAAAATGATTAATTATACTTTTCACCCTTATATTTTCATCAAAATTTCACTTTAATCCCTATAATTTCAAATTGAACAATTTGATCTCTACATTTTAAGTGTAGCTTTAATTTAATCCTTTCATCCAAATTGGAGGTTAAAAATAACAATTTTGAAACACCTAGCAATTTTCTAAGGTATTAACAGAAATTTAGACAGAAGGACCAAATTAAAATTAAACTTAAAAACATAGGGACCAAATTGTTCAAATTAATACAAGGACTAAAGTAAAATTTGAACCAAACTATAATGGTGAAAAGTGTAATTAACCCAAAAAAAAATAAAAACTTTAAAGAAACTGAAGTACAACACATTTTTCTCTTTACACAGCCTTAAAATTTTCCAATTCAGTACACACTCCTAACTCATGTGTAGCCAAGTGCTGAAACAAATTCAACAATTTTTTCATCACCATCTATGTAGAAAATACAACAGTCTAAACAAAACCACGGTTATGAATCCTCAAAATGATGATCCGTCTCATCAAAGATCTCCTCCTACAAGGTGTTAAAATGATATGTCAATATATGGAACCATCTATGAAAATTAGTGGGAGTATATAAAAAACCAGGAATTTAAGGTACCAATGGAAGTTCTCAAATTTACCTGTAAAAGCTCTTCGATGACATCTTCCATGGTTATTATGCCAACAGCTTCCTCTACTTCAGGAAGCTTCGGAAGCGGGCTTCCGTCTATCTGCAGGATGTCCGAGTACATTTCCTTTGTCCACTTCTTGCTCCTAGAGGCGCCCCTATAAGAATGGTTTCCGCTATTGGGAAAACTTTTCATTTTCTGGAATGATCTTTTGGCCTTTAAAGCCTTCTCATTAGGGGTCTTTTCACCATCAATGTCTACCTTCACATCCGTCACTGAATCTGAGAGAGAGAGAGAGAGAGAGAGAGCATCAAAAAAAAAAATTTGTCCAAGCATATACAAAATTCAAAGCATGAAATGAAGCTTACTATGAGCAGGGCTCTTGCTAGAACGCTGGTCCTCTGTCCTGTTGCACTGTCTTACAACAACAGCCATGTGACTGTGACCCTTTTGAAACTCATTCAAGATGTCATATAAGGGCATAGTTTCAGGAACCCTAGAACATAAAAACAAATGATTACATCCTCGTCGTATATAAAATAATCAAATTTAAACTTTCTTTTACAACTAAAACAAAATAAAATATATATTTTTTTATGTTGCCATGTGACTACATCCTCGTCGTATTGATGCCCAATGATGTTAACATTTGGAGCATCCATGTCGTGTTTTCTGCCTCATGTTCAGCATCTAGGCAAGTAGTCCTACAACAAACAAGTATTCTAGACATTGCAACAGGCCTGTTCTCTAGACTTCGTGACATTACTAATAACATCAATTAATGTAGCATATGCACAAAAAACAAGACACTCGGGTTGGTTCGGTTCAGTTCTAAAGCAATAAAGGATGATAGGTTCGATCTTGGGTTCAAAAACTCATAACCGACCATGGTCAGTTCAGTTCTGGGTTGAACCTGATCAACAGTGTTCGACAGGAACCCAAGATAACAGCCACTGTCAGCTAGTAAGCCACAAAGCAGAAACAAGGTTAGTAACTTTATGCGTAAAGAACATGTAAATGCACAACAATGATACAGAGAAAAAACCAAAAAACAAACAAACAAACAAAAAACAGATCTCAAGTATTTTAATTTGTATCATTATTGCAAGCAAAGATCAAGACTTCATTTAGATAACCATATAACATATGTAATTTCCTTCAACCCACATCAACCTGACTATCTTCTAATCAATGTAAGATACCTAGGAATCCTGCGAATAGTGACACTCTTTACTGGTACTTCATCTTCTGGATGAATTGTTAATAAATTCTTCACCTATACATTTAGAAATACAAATATAAATAAACCGAATAAGCATTTAATACCACAATGAAGCAATCAATTAATTTCAAGTTCATGATTAACCCCACGATGACAGTAAAAATTAACAAATTATAGATAGGTAATGGAACAATTTAAATTGGCATTAACATCTTGCTGCCCCACAACAATCCAAATAACTAGGTGAAAAAAGCTATGAATATCACATATACTTATACCAACAGTCAAAAGCTAATCAACTCTAATATTAACCACACAGCTTCTTCAAATTTTTCCTAAACCAAGTAATTCATATCCTACAATATACATCCACAGTGACCAATTACTTCTGAAGTGTGATAATTATAAACTATGAAGCACGGACACGCGACACGGACACACAAATACGCAAATTTTCAAAAAATGGGAGACACAACACGCTGGGGACACGATTTATATATATAATTAATTTTATTTATTATTTAAAAAATTATTTTAATAAAAAAAAATTATAAAAGAATAGTGTTATTTAAAAAAAATTATAAAATTATAACATTATTTTTAAAAAATTATATTTTTTGTTATTTTAATAAAAAATAATTAATTTTATCTATTATATGTCATAATTAATTTTATTTATTTTATTATATGTTCAATACATATTATTCAAATGAACAAAACTAATCAATTTTTTTTTTTAATATAAAATGGAATTAGAAAAAAGAAAAAAAGAAGAGAGATGGTACACTGACCATTTATAAAAGAAAAAAATAAAAGAAAAGAAAAGAAAAAATAAAATAAAATAAAATAAAATCAGAGTATAAAAGAAAAAAGATAAGAAAAGAAAAAATAAAATCAAAATATAAAGAAAAAATAAAATAAAAGAAAAAATAAATAAAATCAAACAGAGGCTGAGAGAGAGAGGACAGCGACTAAGGAAAAGAGATTAGATCAGACAGAGAGGCTAAGAGAGAGAGAGAGAGAGAGCGACTGAGGGAAAGAAGAAGAGCAGCGACGACTGACGAGACACGAGTGACGACCGACGAGGAGTGACGACCGACGAGAGACGACCGATGAGGAGCGACAACTGACGAGAAGCGACGACCGACGAGAATCGAAGACGAACGACTAACGACGAACGACAAATCGACTAGGTCCTCTCTTTCTCACCCTTTCTCTTATGTTTCTGTTCTAATCGAATTAGATTAGGGCAGATGTTGATCTGTTTTTGCTTATTTACAAATCGACCCCAAAAAAATTATGTAAATTGTGAAATTACCCTGAAAGTGTCTATAACGTGTCCGGATGTAAAAAAATTTAAAAAAAAATGACACTCTCTGCTGCGTGTCGGACACGTGTCAACCGCGTGTCCGACGCATGTCCGTGTCCGACACTGGTACGGAGCCCTCGGAGAGGTGTCCGTGCTTCATAGATTATAAAGAACCCTAAATTAAGTCAACCAGACTCCATGCAAATCTTCAACTCTAACCTCATTCCAATCAAGCAAACGCACATACTGAAATTGGTTATCCTCCACTAAATCAAGTGAGCTACACAAGTCCCAAATACAACATTTTACAAAATCAGATGTTAGGAATACAAGTCACCAGACGAAATGCATTTGAAAGGTTTCAAAGAAAAGAATCGCCGACTATATGAAATTTCTAAACCATTCAATGAGCTTTATAGTTAACCCAATTGAGCAGTAAGAGGCAATTATAAATCTTACGGCCATAAAAATGTAAAGTTGCAGTCCTTTAGCAGGCCTATTAGCTTATTTCTCATGTTCTCACTGATCCAGGAGTGGTTACTATGTTTTATAGTTTAAGGTTATTCACAAAATTAGAGAAAAATGCGCGCAGTGACATAAAAGGGCAGCATCCAAATATAAATAGGAAGAGAAAAGAGTGGGTATAGGAGCAGACAACTTGAAACATAGAGATATGGATATATTCATACTAGATTCAGGTGTCTAGCATGATAGGACCATTATATGACACAAGGATAAAAGAAGTAATTCAGGAATAACTATACTTTTCCTAAAAACTTTATATTACTGGCTCGAGTTGGAAAGGACAAGGTTGTTAATTGATCCATAGTACTTAACTACTAATCACTCAATTAGCTAATAAACACACAAACAAAATCAAAGTAAATTTTAATTTCCTTTACCTCTTTTTGCATGCATCATAGGTTTTAATACTATGTTTGAAGGTATAATACTGCAACAAATTCATAATATATCTTCTCAACTCTTCTTGTGTATACATCTTTTGCATTAAGAACAAAATAAGCAGCCAAAATCTTTTTATAGCTTATTTTCCACTGTAAAAATCACAAGAAATTAACTTCTTATGTTAGACTCTCACAAGAATTTATCTGCATGTACTTTAACGAAAGAAAGAATTTTTCTGCATGAAAGTCTAAAAGGTCCCAAACTATGAGATATGCTTTCCAGATAGGGTGGAGTGAAGCAGGAGTGTAAGAGAAAATGAAAATGAGCAGAGATGGTTGAGCATGCTAATAAACTAAAGTCACTTGAAAAATGATCATTCACCAAAGAGTGACAAAATAAATAATTTATTTTTAAATTACACAAAGCACAAACAAACAATTTACCAAAACAAGTCCAATTATGTTTGTAGGTTGCTCATAGTAGACTGGCACTCTGCTATGCCCTTTCTCCAAAATTAAATTCATCAGCTCCCTATTAGATAACAAGCATCATCATATATACGATCAGAACGAAGTTAAAAAAGACTTCAAGCAAACCTTCTATTCAAAAGTTTTCCAACGCATGCAACACCTGTCAAGCTTGGCATTGATATCAACAGCAAAAGTATCAGATATGGGAGTCATGGCATCACTGGCTGTTTTCTCAGTAAGCCCAAGTGCTCCAGCAATAATTGTTGTCTCATCATGTGTGAGTTCTCCACCTTTTCCAGCCTGTTTACAAGTAATCAGAAGACTATCAAGTCACAAGATAAAGCAGAAGGAAAAAGAAGCTCTTTGCAATGGAGTTTGAAGTGAAAAATAAAAATGGGATAACATTAACTTCAGGAGACGTTTTTATAGACAAGAAAATTAAAATTCCTGCAAGCAGCACATTTTGTAGGAAAAAAGTATTGGATGGATGTTTTAAAGATTCCTCAAATGGAGACCTTTTTTTTCTTTTGGGTGTGTTTGTGTGGGTGGGTGGGTGTAGGGACATGGGAGGGGGATGGACCAAATTGCATCCTAAATAAATAAAAAAATGTCGTTAGTGCATAACACTTTCAGAAATGTAGCTACTTACCTCATTACCATGCAAATCAACCAGTGTTTTCAACTCAGCTCTACGGAAAAGTGCTACATGTACATGTCCTAGCAGAAAATATAATAGCTGAAAATCACAGACAATAAGGGTAGCCAAGAAGACTAATTAGAAAGACCAACCAATGAATTTGCTTTAAGTAATGCAATGCAATAGTGCTGAGCAAACACAAGTACCTTGCTTATTGGATATGCTACAGGAAAACAAATCCAAACAAGAACGCGAACAAATGGGGCTACAGCAGCACCAATAGCCAACCCATATCTAGAACAAACAGATTGTGGTATAATCTGTTCATACAGACTAGTAGTAATTAGCGCATGCAAATTCACCATGCTGATTTAACCAGGAAAATTGAAATATCATGATGCGAAAAATAGATTAGAGTTTTCTAAAAGCACTTCTTTAGATAATGTATCCATGCTACAAGAACATAACTCAAGTTTTCAAATAAGCACTTTTTCTATCAGAACAGATGGGCAGACACATTCCCACCTCAATTGCCCATGTAGCAAATTGCAGGGATAAGAAATCAGTTTTAAGTGGGTACAATCGGGCACGAATACCCTAATAAACCATAAATTGCACTGCAAATTCAAGCAGCTGTCCACCTGTTCCAAATTTTATAGCTCTCTTCTAAAGAAATGTTACCTAAGATAAATCCCTCACCTCTCCAAACAGAAGTATCAATGTAACTGAAATCAGGATGGCACCCCAAGCAGTAACCAGACTATCCAGAAATATAGGAAGTGCCTGACAAAAAGAACATCTAAAAACATCAAGTACTTCACGATAAATGTTATTAAAAATAGCTTGTTTCAGCATGTCATAATATATGTACCTCCATGGCAGCAGCATTGCATATAAGCAACGTGCAAAGCAATAAATGCTGTTTTCGGACAACTGGTAATATCTTTTCTGTTGTGAAAAAGTAAAAGCTGTCAATTATAATTTATAGAAGTACACAATCAAAATAAAGAGAGAGCCAAAGAATGCAATACAATTCTACCAACCTCAGCCATATGTAGTGTTTGAAGCATTACAAAAACAAAATCTAATAGTACAGCATATTTGGCATTTATAACTTGTGTCATCACCCATACATCACTAGCATCATCTCAATTATATTTATCTTGCAATATTTGTTTTTCTATTTATCTAAACCAGCAAAATACCCCCCAGATGGGAAAATGCATGCCCTGTTTTCTTTGTAAGAAATGCCTTTTATTCATCAAGAAGCCACTGCATGCTCTACATCCATGCTTGTCACGCTCACTCTCCTAAGTGTATAGCAGAGAGGCATATCATTTGACAAACACCACACACAATTGCACTTTCCCCAATGCACACAGAAGGTAGTCTATAAATTGATAGTGATAGATAGATGTCTTCAAATGAATGAGAACAAATGATGACTTTATGTTTGCTTTATCAAGGCCAATGCCAATTAGTCAAAGTTCAACCTAGGCATAGCTATTATGTTTTCCCTCGGGGATTAAAATAATGAAAAACTAGGACCTTAATCCATTGTCATGGAAAGAGATAGTTCCTGTTGTCATTAGCTGGCTTGTTAGAATGCAAGTTGTGGTCCTCTGCAGATTCACAATTTAAGCAAGTTGCTGTGCATCTACAGAGGCTATCCTTCAACTCCTCCTTCCTAGCCAAATGGGTAATTGTTTGCCTCCTCATTAACAGCCTCATTTCTTTTTTTTTCCTGTGTTCTACTTTTTTTTTAGTAGAATATTACAACCGATTTTTTAAGTATTTTATACTTCTAAGAATATATAGTCCAAACTGCACGCCAAATGAGAGCCAGCTAATACTTACAAAGAACAGTGACTAAGTTGCACCAAAAGGGAGGAGCACTCCAGCAGCAAATGCAAACCTAGCCTTAACAATTAAGGTAAGGGACGCTGCTATTCAGTGAAACAGCCACCAATTCATTAGCAAATGAGAATGCTTGATACAAACAACCATTACATAGTAAAACACACCAGATCCATCAATATCTACTGAAAGTTAAATTATACCCTACCCAAAAGTAAACATTTTCAAATTTGTTACACTTCTGGATAATTTTGTAGAATTGAATGGCTATGTAGTACCTTATGTTCATATGTAAAATTTAAAATCCATCATTGAGAATGAGGTAATCAAAGAACCACAAAAGATTACTCACTCAGTTTTGGGATTTCATAGAAAAGTCTCAACTCTGAATCTCTCACTTATTTAACTACTTTGTGTTAGGTTGCAGTCAGTTAATGCAATAAATTCTCTCAATCAAGAATTTTGTAGCATCAAATTTTACTACAAAACACAGATTATCATTCAATTCAAACGAGGCCCCAAAAGCAGATAAGCATTAAATTAGCATCAAATAGCAATAAATAAAAAGTGAGAGACATAAATTTAACCAAATATATCAATACATAAACTACCAGCGTGTTTGCGATCCTTGGGAGTTCCAGATTTGGCGAGAACTTCAAGATCAACGAGACTCATAGACATGAGCCCCAAAGTGAGCCCAGACATCAACCCAGCAAACAAAACCAGAAACACGATTATCAATATGTGAATAAAGAACTCCGACCCGCAACATTTATACTCCACCGCCATTCAATCCCTCCTCTCTCTCTCTCACTCTCCCTCTTCCCCTAACTCGTCGTCTTCTGCTTCAAACCCTCAACAACAACAACAACAAAAATAAGCAAACTTCTAAAGAAACACCAAAATCTCCATGGAGAAACCTTCAGAGTCCAAAACCCTATATCTCCAGAACGTACTAGAAGAGAAATAGCTCGAACAATAGAGAAAGATATATAGACTTTTGAACAACCGACACAGTTTTGTATTGTATATAAAGTATTGTGATGGGACAGTTGTTAGAGAGAGAGAGAGAGAGAGTCGGTTACGGAAACTGGTGGATGAAAAAGGGGGACGTTAGAATATGGAGATTCGCCGAAGGAAAAACTGGAGGAGAATTCACCGTCGGCAATGACACGAGAAAGAGCTCTCTCGTGTGCTCTGATTTTGTCTGAACTGTGTGACGTGTTACATGCCCCAAATAATTCTCAATTGAGGTTTCGATCTCTCTGCAGTTCCGTTCTCATCGCTTTCCAGCCCCATGATTGTTACATCATCAGAAATTTCATATGATGCTTATGCCATGTTTGTCTACCGACGTGGGAGAATAATTGGAGTGCTATGCTGTGGGTCCTATTTACAATTTGTTTGGTAGTGTTTTGGCAGGGGAGTAATTTAGTAACCTCTCTGAATAGGAGATTAGCTTGGTTAAATTTTGAAAAATGAGTACTAATGATGTGGTAGTAAGTCTCACTATGAATAATTTGATGTTTTGATCTTGTTATTATATTTTTTTCTTTTTTTATTGAGTGCCGTGTCATTAGTGCTCTTTTTAGAGTTCTAAAATTAGTAGTCTCTATCATTGTTGTTAAATTTTATGTAAGAATAGAAAAATAATAAGCAACTGTTGGTGGGGGCATTGTGGCTAAGGTTTGAAATTTAAATTCTAAGGTTACAGGCTCAATTCTCTCTTCTTAGGTCAATTTTTTAGGCGAAGCACAGTTGATTAGGAGGTTGAACTTGTACTGACTTAAGCGGAACTTAACACCCTGGTGATCTCTGCCTTGGACCTGCGGGAGAGTAGAGAGGATTTTCATGTAACAAAAAAACAAAAGAAAAGAAAAATAGTAAGTGAGTTTAGTCTATGGCTTCGTTTGGAATATGGGTTGGTTTTTTGGATTTATGACAATTTTAATTTGGGGTTAAAATGTATCGTTTTGAATAAATTTTTTAGTTTTTTTTACTTTTATGAAAAAGAATAATAATAATTTTGGTTTGAATGTGACATTTTTTAATCTGAAATTAAAAAATTTATATTATCCTTTTGTGTCTATTTTAGTCCCAATCCACCTCCAGCACAACTTCCCAAACCAGTGCTATGAATTTGATATCATGATTAAAATAGCAAATATTAATTTATTTTATCAAATTTAAATTTAATAAATAATAATAATATGCATTTGGAGATGATCTTAAAAAGTTAAAATAGTTTTATAAAACCTATTTTGTTTAATTTGTATTTAGTGCATCACCAGTTATTTTTATTTTTAAATTAAAAGGAAAACTACTCCTCATTGGTTTCTTAAGATAAAAATTAATTAACAACTGATGAAAGATCTTATCTCTTCGCACTGTTATCATTATTTTATAAATATTTTTTTAAAATATAGATTTTTTTTCAAATTAAAATTATTAAACTTATTTATTTTGATGATTTATTTAATTATGTTTTAATTTTTTTGAAAGAGAAAAATAGAATCCAAAATTTATTTTAATGATTATATTTTAATTTATTTGAATATGTTTTAATTTATTTGAAAGAAAAAAATAGAATCAAAATTTATTTTGTCACATTATTTCTCACATAAACCTTTATGCTAAATGTTGTTAGAATGTATTTAATATTTGATTAAATCAGGAGTTAAAACAGCCCAAAACAAATGTTCAAATAGCCTAGCACAGCAGCAAGCCAAAAGGTTAAAAAGATTCAAGTGAAAGATATTCAAATTAGTAATGATGGAAGTACAACAGCTATTAGGACTGCAAATGAACAGAGCCGTTCATGATCAGGCTCAAGCTCGGCTCGGTAAGAGCTCGTTAGAACTCGGTTCGTTAAATTTTTTCTGCGATTTTGTTCTATTATTTCTCACCTAAACATTTATCCTAAATGTTGTCAGAATGTATTTAATATTTGATTAAATCAGGAGTTCAAACAGTCCAAAACGAAGGTTCAAACAGCCTAAGGTTTAAAAGATTCAAGTGAAAGATATTCAAATTAATAATGATGGAAGTACAACAGCTATTAGGACTGCAAATGAACAGAGCCGTTCATGATCAGGCTCAAGCTCGGCTCGGTAAGAGCTCGTTCGAACTCGGTTCGTTAAATTTTTTCTGCGTTCGAGCTCGAGCTCGAGTTCGTTAAATTTTTAATAAGCAAGTCCAAACATTCTAAAGCTTGGCTAGTAAGCTCGGCTCGTTAGCTGGCTTGTTTAATATTTATTATTTATATAGTAAATAAGCAAGTCCAAACATTCTAAAGCTTGGCTAGTAAGCTCGGCTCGTTAGCTGGCTTGTTTAATATTTATAATTTATATAGTAAATAATATAAAAATATGTATAAAAAATAAGAGAAACATGCTATTTATATATTTAAAAAATATAAATATAAATAATAATTAACTATAGATAGTACATTTACATAATAGTAATAATAGATATCATTATTTTAGTAAAATATAAACTTTTTTTTAGTACGTTTATATATATTGTATATATAATTGTATAATCAAAGTTTTAATTATAACTTTAGTCCCACATGTAGGTATGAATTTATAATTTTTTTGACTCGTTAAGGCTCGTGAACAGGCTCGAGCTCGAGTCGAACCTAAGCCAACTCGGCTCGAGCTCGGTTCGTTAATTTTTTATTCAGCTCGAGCTCGTTAAAATCTTAATAAACAAGTCCAAACATACTAAAGCTCGGCTCGGCTCGGCTCGTTTGCAGCCCTAACGGCTATAAACGACTATAAAGGTTCAAAAGATTCAAAAGATTCAAGTAGAAGATATTCAAATTTGTAATAATGGAGTAGAAGATATTCAAATTGGTAATGATGGAAGTACAATGGCTATAAACGGCTATAAATTCAAATGACTACAACGGCTATAAACAGCTATAAATTCAAATGAATACAACGGCTATAAACAGTTATAATTTTCTTTATATATACCAAAACCTCTAATGTAACAAGTTACAAAAAAAACCTAAAAATATTCTTTGATCTATAATCACTCACATCCTCTCTTAGAAATTATACACTGAGCCTTATAACATTAAGCTCATCTTTCTTGTGTGAGATTTACAGAAAAATCAAGGTTTCATTTTATATATCTATCTTTGAGAGATATTTATTGTAAACTTTCTTTGAAAGCAAAAATACCATTTCATCTTGCAAAAATACCATTTCATCTTGTAAAAGTATTGCAAACACTGTATTCTTGAAATTTTGAGAGTGATTGTGAATCACCTAAGATTTGCAAGGGTTTGGGCTTGTGAAGGCTGTGTAAAATCCGTGAAGTATTGCTCCATTTGTAAAGAGGTTGCTAGCACCCTTGTGAAGCTAGAAGATAGTGGAAAATCTCAAGTGAAGCTTGAGGAGTGGATGTAGGCTTGGTTGAAGCCGAACCACTATAAATCTGTTTGTCTCATTGTCACGACCCAAACCCGTCCCTATGGATTTATCATCGTAATCGGCCAGTAATCCGTGATTACCGAAGGCTTGCTTAACAGTAGTGACAGCAATACAAAGTAAGGGACTGGTGGAAGCCAAACAGTAATAAAAAGATGTTCAATGAGCTGTGAAAATCTGAATGCAAAAAGACTTTTATGAACAAGCCACATTCGTAACCAAAACATATATACATACATCATATACACAAACATCCAGGTTAGGGACCAAATCCCTTCACCATCACTGTACAGTCAAGTCTTAATCAGTCAATACAAAATGGGGACAAAATGGTGAATTTGAAACACCCCAAAACAGCCTTAGTTTGAACGAACTCGGAACCTCGAAGTAAGGCACAATGGTTGGCTCGACAAAATGAGAGCTTAACTTGACGCTCCTAGCTTCGGTCCGATGCCTGGACACCTATATATAAATATAAACAGTGAACTAAAACCCAGTGAATAACAAATGCGTAAAGGGGTTAAGAATGAATGTCATTTCATTAATTAAAATAGTCGTTTGCATCAGTAATTCAGTTATTCAATTAGTGGCTCATATTTCATGCCATATCAGTCATTTAGAAATCATGATAGTCATACGTGGTATGTCCAATAGCAAACAGTACAGTAGGTCTTAATAGACCGAACAGTCAGTTGATGGCCATCAAAACAGTAAACAGTAGTAGTTCCAAACATTGGAACTGACAGAGATCTCTGTAACAGTAGCAGTAACAATAACAGTAACAGTAAGTTGCTATGGATGCCATGAGTACAGTTTACAAATAGGACAAACATTCATTCAGTAAACAGTGTTATTTCAGAAAACAGTACAATCAATCGTTCAGAATAATTATAATTGAACGTATCTTTACAACATTATTACTCACAGAGTACTGGGCTATAGACAGGCTAGTCAGCGTCCTCGGGTGCCAACCCTACATAGTTGCAGAACGAACACACACACTAAGTTACACACTTGGGATTAATAACTTAGCCTCTTAACTGTGACACCCCGTATTTTTGAAGTATTAATATTTAGTGAGTGGTATTGCTGGTTTATTATGATAATTTAAGGGTGAGATTTTTAGATAAGAATCTAATTTTAAATTATTTATTTGTATTTATCTCATCCCTTTTATATCTATCATATTGTTATTTATTCAGATATAATAATAAATTAATTTTCCCCACAATTCCCCATCACATAAAAAAAAAAAAGAAAAAAAAAGAAAGAAAAGAAAAGACAAAACCGTGGGCTTTCCCCACAATTCCCTCACTTCCTAGAGCAAAACCACCATTCTATCATTCCATCCTTTCACCATTTCATTCTTTAAATTTTTTTATATATGGAAACGTGGGTAGCAAGCCCACTGCCATGTTCAACCATCCATTTTCCTTTCCCATAAAGTTGTCCTTTATTTTCCTTTTTATTTTAATTTTTTAAATTGAGAGTTAGTAATTTTACAAGAGATCAGAATTATTTTTAGAGATCCATGGAGCAATTTTAGATTTATGGTGATGGAATTAATTATTTTGTGGTAAATTCGGGTTGTATACAATATGCTCTATTTAAATCTCTTTGCAAAGAGTTCTCTTATTTTAAATTATCCTCAATTTGTAATCTATTTGATTATTGTGGTAAAATCATTTGTTGTTGAATCGTTGATATTCTAATCATTTGGTAAAATTCTCTACAAATATTTCAGTATTAAAATGGTGATTTGTCTGACTGAATGACATGGAAATACTTCATACATGGATCAAGTGAATCTTATTAATTGTTTACACCAATATGCCCGGATAAGCATGATGCTTGGGTGAGGTGGGTGAATAAATAA